ATTGTGCAACATCTTAAACAGTCTCTAAAATACAAAAAAAGAAGGCCCGTTCACACCAAGGACAATAACTATAATGTTAAAGATATAGTTTTAAAAATCACTCCAAACTAAAGAAGTTCACACAACAACTATAATGATAACAGTATGGAGGAACAATATCACTGGAGTCACTTTCAGATTTTTTTTTTCCAGCTGATGAACAATAACAATATTGATAGCCAATCAGAATTCATCCTGCTTTAACTTGAGCATGTAAAAGGGCAGACGACAAAACTGCAGCACAAGCTTATAATAAACAGAACTTTATCATGACTTAATATAATATATTTATCGTTCTTGGTGACAGCCTTAACTCTTAAGCATGATGAATTCATAAGATATTAATCAACACAGTATAATAAACTAAAATGTTATTTTGTTGACTAAAATTATGTCATTTCATTATAAATAAATGAATCAAGTAAAACTGATGTAAATATATTAATATTATGAAATACTGATTACATGTAATTACATGTTGAGGACAAACTAAAACAAACTTAACACTGTCTGGACACAGAGGAAGAAACAGTTAAAAGTCATGGCCTAGATCTTGTGCTAGAAACTGATGTAAGAGGATGGGAACTTTTCATCTCCTCATGCACCTTTGCTTCTCAGCTTAATGTGTGTGTGTTTTCTTGGTTCTGTTGCTGCTTGTCTGGGAAGATATGGGTAAGGAATACCCTGAATTCCTGTCGTGTCTCATTTTGAGGTTGAAACAGTCAGGCGAGCAGGTCTGTGCGTTACAAAACTCTGACAGCCTTGACTTTCTGACTCATTTCAGATTTATACAATGTGGCAAACAAAGCCTCAATGGACACTGAAGGAAGATATTTTAATACAAATTGTGTTTTGCCAGCATTTCTTTCCATATGACCTACTTGAAAGAAATGAACTTTTCAGTTTTACTTTTCATTATTTTTAATTTGGTCTAAAAAAAGAAATACAGCATGAATGTGGGAGGTAAGCTAATTGTAAAGCTTTATTTCTGTTTATAAAGCTTTATTTGGTATTACAAATGACTAAGTCAACATAAAGTCCCAAATAACCCTATTTACTTTCTAAATGCATTTTTGGATAGCATATGCTGAAAGATTCATTGTTGCATGTTATTAAAAAGAAAGAATTGACTGAAATTACTTTTCATTTTATGCTAACATCAGTAAGGAGGCTATTGAATAATGTTAACCAATAGTCAAACAGGATTTGATGCATTATCTTAGCAAATTTGCATTTGGGTTGACTGTGTTCTGGTATAAAACATTCACTTTTCACGATGCAATTGATTCCCCTCTACATTGTTTCTTGCTGAATATCTTGTTTCAATTGAAAATATGTCACATTAAGGAAGTACAATGGGTTGTGAACGGCAATTCACACTGATTTTCAGTTCTCTGCATGAACAGCTTTTCAATAAATAAAAAATGTTCTCCATATTTGGAACCTTATATGGAAATATAACAAAGAACATATAAGATTGTGTTTACATGGCTGCTTTACATATATACACTATGTCCTCCATTCTCAATTATCATTCAATTTCACTTACTGAATATGGATAAACAACAAGTTAACCTTGCACTAATGGCTGTTGTTGCAAAGATATGTGGTGGTCACATGAGAACACCTCCCATCTGGTCATGGCTATCAGTGTTACTAACCTAATGTGTCATCTATAAATTATTAACCTCTCATTTTTCAGTACGGTTACACTTGGCCACTGAAAAGCATCCTCTGTCATTTTTATTGCCTTGCGTTTCACAGATGTCCAATACAATTTTATGGGACGTACACAGTACTGAGCTTATTTAGTGCAAGTGTACATGCATTTGCAGTAAATTACTTTTAATTGAGCAGAAAATCAGAAACATGATGATGCAGAAACAAAGAAAGTTATTTTACGTGTTTCTAAATGGGGACTTCTAATTGCCTTCTATTAGAATATTAATACTAATCACTCCATTCTAAACTTAACTTTTGGCATTTTTAGAGGTGAATTAAAACATAATTTAGTCTCCTAATGAACCATTTTTCCTTTCAAGGATGTCCCCAAAATTAGATTTTTTTTCCCTCTTCAGATTTAGCAAAAACTTCTAGACATTTTTCAACAATTTCCCCTCAATAACATTGCTAGGTCAAACACACATACTTCCACCATCATTCTCAATCCTTTATAACCACTGCAGTGCACGTCCATGTAAAAGCTTTTATAATGCTTTCCCAATGAAAATCAATACAGCCCTGCAAAAGTGAGGTGAGCATTAGCAATCTCCCCTCATTTCTCTCTTTCTCTCTCCCTTTCTGTATCCCTCCATGTGTCTCCCACTGTCTCCTGGCCCCTCCATCACTGGTCTCCTCCATTAATTTATAATATCTATCTCTGGAGTCGGTCCTCACTAGCATACGCATGGCACCCGTGAGCATGCAAGTGTGAGTGTCAAGTATATCGACTATCCATCTGACCTGTTGCCTGATCCCGAGCGTGTGTGTTGAGTTACACAGACTCACCTACTGCCCACCTGTCTGACCGTTAACCCTGCACACCCGAGCAGCGTGTCTACAGGTGTGTGTTGGCACTCGCAACATTAACAAGCCTAGTATATTGATTGCCGCTCTGTCTATTCAAATGATAGGAACGTAGGCCGCCGTGGGGACAGAATGCAGCCGGTCGATAGGTGTTGGCGTGAGTGGGCGGATGGGGGAGGGGCTATAGAAAAAGTGTGCTGCAGCAAAGAGGGAGTTTGGAGTTTCACTTAGGAACATGCCGAGTTGTGCATTTATAGAAGATAGGAGAGATGTCCGATAGAGAGAGAGAGACAGATATAGGTCAAAAGGATTTCCATTTTCGTCGGCATTCAATTCTGAGAGTGCTGTTTATGTATGCGTTCGCGCAGGGGCCTGTTTGCAAATTCAGACAGCAGTAGGGTATTGACTTGCCATCACGCTATACTGTCCCATCATGGAAGCCAGACGCACACATACACGCACCATCTACACCAAGCTCGAGTTAGGCTAGGTCACAAAGCTCTGCGGTAGAGGAGTTAATTACAGTGTGATCAATAATTGATTAAACCGTCAGAATGAGTCCAACAAACTCACCAGTAAGCATTAACGCACTCTCACCCCAAACTCTTGGCCGAGTATGAATGCACACGCAGAAGCACACAAATACACATCCGAATTCTCTATTAAGCATTTTCAGTGGGAAAAAAATGTCAGCAGATTAAGAGGATTGACTCGGTATTGGATTAAGCCACCCACTGTGGTCAGGATCACACCAGCGTGTATGGATTGATTAGGTCTTGCGAGGCACACATCTCCCTAACGACTGCATCAGCTGTTTTTTAGGAGCTGGGTAAAGAGACTTACAATCTGACTGTCAGTCATGCTAAAAAGACCAAAAATGACATGTCATTTAGGACTCAATATCTCGCGTGTAGACCTCTGCGGATTTGGTTTAAGCTCCCAACACCTGTCATAAAATGTAATGTGATCCCAGTGTTCAATTTAACCATGTCTCTCTATAGTATGAGGCCACCCTTTGGTTCAGGCTTAGTCCAAAGCGCCTGTCAAAGGGTGCACAGGTGCTAAGCTAGCAGTTTGGATATGCTGCATTAAATCTATGACTTGGATAAAAGTGTAAAGATGACAGATTAAGTCAAAAAAGACAACTCTGCAAGCCTGCGTGGTTTCTCTCTCAAGCGTTTCATGCATATACTGTCAAACACACTGGCCAGTTCCGCTCAAAGCAGGTAGACATATATTCCGCTCTATATTTAACACTTCCAAACAGAAACACTTTGTCTCAGAAAATGAAAGAACAAGGAAAGGAGTGGAAAGAATGTCAAAGACAGGAAAATAAGGGGAGTATGATGGAGAGAATGATAGAAAGCAAGAGAGAAAGAGAGAGACTGAGCAAGTGGAAAGAGATCTATGGTGGTGTGAGAGAAAATGGGTTACATTTCTCCTCTCTTCGACAGTCTATTTTCAGTAGCTACTCCTGGAAAGGAGAGCAGGCAGTTAGCACCATATAACCTTAACCACTCCACATGCAGTAACACAACAACAGTACAGGCTGACTGCAGTAGTTGTCACATTTGTGCTTTTCTACAACTAGTTTTGCTTTTTCTTTAGTTCTTGATGGGATGAGATTTCACTAAGAGCAGATCAGCTTGAATTCACCTCGGAACTACAAAATAACCCAAAAGCTTTTGACAAGATATGGGCAAAATATTGCCCCTAACTTCATAAAATGATGTGTTATATATCCAGAGAAGCCTGTTTCCACCTCTAAAATGTAATTGTGACTTTACATCACACAATTATTACTTCTCGTTATTTAAATCTCCCTATCGTGCAATTATATCTCACAATGTGGCTTTATATCTCATAGTTGTGATTTTTTAATATCACTTTTGCAACTTTATATGTTAGAAATGTGACTATACTTCACAGTGTGACTTTGGCAGAATGCCTGTACAATCTGACTATATTTCACGGTTGTTACTTTATATGCCACAGTTGTGATTTTTGTCTCACAGTGTGATTATGTCTCACAGGTTGACTTTATTTATTTTAAACATTATACTAGACTAATTTTTTTTCTCTCTGAGGTGGAAACTGGCTTCCATTTATACCAGATCGTTTCTTAGAAAACCTAATTACAGTGTACTCAAAGAAACAAAGAAAATGTGTGGGGTAATCCAATGGCTATCAGCGTTTTTCTATATTAGTACAGGAATATCCCACAGGACTGAATGAATTTAGGTTAGTTTTGGAATCCAAATCTAGTTCAAGCTTGAAGCTTTTGTCCTGACAAGCCTTGTAACATTTTGGGTAAACGTTACTCCTTGCTGGCCAAAATGATCCAGAACTAGTACAATTCTAAGACACTTGATGAACATGGCCTGCTTATACTTGTTGAAGGTGCAGTGGTGAAACATAGATCTTTATGTTCTTACCTGTTTGCTGTACTTGACAGTTTGGCAGCCGTAATCGGAGCACTGGTCTGAGCTGAGTGACATGGCGTCTGCATTACCGGTGCCGTTGCCAGTGAAGGTGTTAGTGGGGGGCAGTTCCTGCACAGCTTGGTGCTTCTTGCCTTCCACGGGTGGTGAGTTGGGCTGAAGATGCACTGCAGGCAAAGGTGAGCTGGACTTGTAGTGGCGTGCCAGATCTGGACTTGATTGGTGACGTCTTGAGCCTAGTCTTGGACTGCTTAGGTCTCCGTTAGCAGCTGCACAATAACGTGCTGCAATCCTCTCGCTGGCACTGCTAACATCTTCATCCTCCTCTTCTTCATCGCCTCCCCCACGTCTGCAGGCATTCACCGTCATAATTCCACTGTATAAAGAACGCTCAGATTTGGCAGTACCGTTATTACGCTTGTCTCTGCGGGGTTTACGCCCACGTTCATTTTGGGAGCCCTGGGCTAGCAGAGGGGGAGGTTGTGGACTGAAAAAGTCCTCTTCTGGCTCCTTCTTCCCAGCCTCATAGCCATTCTTACCCTGTGCCCCACACTGTCGTGCTGTCACAACCAGAAGGATCACCAGAATAACGGCGGCAGCACCAGCCAGGACACCGATGGCAACGCTCAGGCGTTGTTTACCCAAAGCTCTCTCGCTGTCTGGGTCACCTGCAATATCCATATAGAGGGGGACTGCAAGGCTGCGGGACACCTGAGTGAGAGGGAGAGAGACATACAGAGAGAGAGAGAGAGAGCAAAAATGGAAAGTCTTAAATGGCGTGTCTGCCCTTTGATAACTGCATCCTCATTTCACAGCTCTGTCTGCTGAACCACACACACGCACACATACACATTCATCCCTACTGCAAGGCCCAGACTTCTCAATTATCATGTCAAGGCTTGGATATTCAATCATAGTTATTCTGCGCAGGCAAGTGTGACTGTGTATGTGTATGCGAGTGTGTATCTTTCATCTTTGCATCTGTATGTGTTTCTTTCTATCCAATATCCAATGTGGGTCAACAGCAATTTGATGCATGAATATTTATAAACAGCAATATTTTTAAAAAGTGCTATTTCATGCCAGGATTTCCTAGTTGTGAAAAGTTGTGAAAATTACCCTTTGTTTGTGTTAATTTGAACAGCAGTGCTGCACTGATGTGTCTCACCTGTGCATCCACCAGCGTAGCATTGGCCAAGCTCTCATTGATGAAGACATGCACCAGTGCCGTGGCACAAAGGGAAGGCACGCCACTGTCATTGACCCGGACCACCAAGCGGTGCAGACCCCTGTGTCTTCTCTCCAGGGGCTCTGCCAAGGTTATGACCCCACTACTTGAGCCAATCTCAAACAGACGAAAAGGGTTTCCGCCTACCAGAGTGTAGCGGAGATCGGCATTAGACCCTGTGTCGCCATCGGAGGCTGAGACTGTGCGGACTACAGTCCGAGCTCCGCTAGCGGGTGGCAGAAGGGTGTATGATTCATTAGCGGGTGATGTGATGGATGGCGCGTTGTCATTTTCATCAGTGACAAACAGGGAGATGGTGGCGGTGGCAGACTGTGGCGGTTCTCCACCATCAACAGCACGCACGCGGAATGAGTATGTACTACGTCGTTCGCGGTCAAAGGATGCAGAGGAGAAAATGGTTCCAGTGTTATTTTCAATGGAGAAAACTTCTTGCTTCCCCTCTTTGCCCTCCTCTCCACCCTCCTCTTCATCGTGCTCAACAAAAAGACTCAACTCTGCATTCTCGCCTTCATCTGCATCGGTAACAGTCACCATGCCGACGGGGCTATTGGTGAGCAGGTTCTCTTTGACGTAGAATGTGAAGACTTCCTGGACAAATTTGGGGGCATTGTCGTTCCTGTCTGTGACCTGAACTATGACAGTAGCAGAGCCTTGCAGAGACGGGGTGCCCTTATCTCGAGCTATCACACGAAATTCATAGCGTTCCCTCTGCTCTCTATCTAGTGCCCCAGTGGCACGGATATCACCATGATCGGCATCAATGTAAAATGCTCCATTAACAGATGGGTCCAGTGAGTATGCGATCTCTGCATTCTTACCACTGTCTGCATCAGAAGCCACTACTGTGACCACTCGTTCTCCTGGGGCATTATTCTCTGCAAAATGCACTTCCACTAAGCTCTGGGCAAAAGTGGGAGCATGGTCATTGATGTCCACCACACGTACCAGAAGGGAACTGTTACTAGAGAGGCTTGGGCTACCGGAGTCCACTGCCACGATAGTGACACTATACTCACGAGTAGCTTCGTAATCCAAAAGTGCTGAGGTGTGGAGAAAATATTTCTTTTTGTTTCGTTCAAATGCATCATCCGTGGCTGGTGGAGGTGCTAGGGCTGTCTCACCCGCCGGTTTCAACGTAAATGGCACATCCCCAACCACAGTGCAGGTAACCGCACCATTTTCTCCCTGGTCGCGGTCTGACACCTGTACTAATGCTACTGGAGTGTCCACCAACACGTTCTCTGGAACCATTGCAGCGCCATCCCGAACAAGGATTCGTCCAATTTTTCGAATTTCCACAATGGGTACATTGTCATTTTCATCCCTTACGTTGAGAACGACTGTAGTGCGGTCAGTGCGAGGTGGTTGGCCGCGGTCACGAGCTGTGATGGTGAAGCGTAGCTGCGAAACTTCCTCGCGGTCTATGCGATGCAGAACACTCAGCCAACCAGATGCTTCATCCAACCTCAGAAGGCGCCTCACTGATTCCGTCGCTGCTCCAAACACATACTCAACCTGCCCGTTCACGCCGACATCACGGTCTGCGGCACGCACCTGCAGGACAGGTGTGCCAGGTGGGGTGTTTTCTGGCATTTCTGCTTCATACACGGCTCTCTCAAAGCGTGGACTGTTGTCGTTGACGTCTGTGATGGACACTCGTAACAGAGCTTGTGAGGAGCGGGGAGGGTTGCCGCCATCACGAACCCGTAGAACGAGTTCATAAGAATCTCGTGCTTCGCGGTCCAGAGGCCCTTTCACGATCAGCTGGGGCTGTTTCTGTCCTTCAGGTGTGTCGGCAACTTGAAGTTCAAACACGCTGCTCCTGCTGGCAGGTCCTGCCCCTGTTTCTGACACTCTCCTTCGGTCACCACCGTTCCCATTGGTCGGTCCGTTCGCAGGCCGCCGCAAAGATGATCCCCCATCTCTACTGTCCTGGATAAGCTCATAGCGATCAATGCCATTACGACCAAAATCACGGTCTGTGGCTGTGGGAAGGAGATAGAGTGTGCCGATTGGCCGATTCTCCTCAACAGACAGTGTGAGTACTGGTGAAGGAAAAGAGGGGGTGTTGTCATTGATGTCTGTGACTACAATACGGCCATCAAACAGATCCACCCAACTCTGTAGGGGACCTATGACTGATACCTCAAAGTTCAAAAAGCACTCATTTTCATCAAATATCATCTGACACTGCGGCAGCTTCTCTCTGTCAATCCTCTTGCTGCCTGTAGTAAGCTCTCCAGTGACGTTGTCAATTTTGAAGTATTCTGAGCCAGATTCCAAAGCGAAAGTGACATCACCTGTCCCGATCCCAGAGGTGGACAGCCCCAGGTCTGAAGCCACGTTCCCAATATGCACATCGGCCGGCCCCTCTTCTGCCACGCGGTAGCGCAGCACTGAATTGGCGCGCGGGAGCTGAGTCAGCAGCTGCAGGATAAGCACGAGGTAGCAGCGCGCAGAGTGCACTGCGCCAATGCTCCTGCTCCCCATGACTCTCTCTCTCTCTTTCACTCTCTATCTGCAGCTTCCTCTGGTCCAAGACTCGCCACCAATTAATCTCTATAAACGCTTCCTTTGGCAAAATCTTATTTTCTCCTGCAGTCTTTTAGTTTCCCGGTCACGTTTTCAGCACGATTAAATAAAACATCCACTTTGTGAAGAGCTCGGCATCGGCGATAAGTCTTTACAGCTCTTACCGACAAGAATGTTCCTTTGTGCCCTTTAAGAGTAAACGGGAGTCAAATTTGAGCAGTTTAAATGACTTTGTCCGGCTCATTGAGATGCTGCGGAGCGCGGGCTCCTCTCGCGCTTTCACAGTTTTAAACTGCAATGCAGTAGAACACAAAAGAGATCTGTCTGTGAATTCAGCTCTCACATTCGCATCCCAGAGCTTGCGCTACTGGCTGGGAATAAGCCAAAGTGCTTTCTAAAGTCTTTTCCCGATATTATATGTTCTCTTACCTTAAACCACAGCGAGAGGAAAATTGGAAAGCTTTCCCCGCAGTCTTACGCGCGCGTGCCAAGCTCTTATAGATTCCTTCACGGCGAACTTGACAAAGAGAAAAGCTTTTCAGTTCGACTTCTCAGAGCACGTAAACTAGCCACTATGGAAAGATGGTGAGCAGGATAGAGAACTAGCAACAAAAGCCTTTAGTAATTCCTCCGGAGTCCGTGGTGGATGTGTGTGAAGTGTTTGAGGAAAAGTCCCGCATTCTCCTCCTCCCCTCACCTGCACGTTCTACTGCACTGCATGTGAACGTCCCTCAAATGATGCTGCAGTCTCTCCCTCTCTCTACGTCTCTCTCTCTCTTCCCCCTCCGTTCACTGCAACACTTCCCTCGCTACGTAACTCGACTGTTCAGATGAAACGGGAGACTGTGAGTGTCTCGAAGGAGCTCGCGCTTTTCTTTTAACCAGTCTAAAAGCGCAAATACAGGGGCTTTGCATACGACCACAAAACAAAATACCTCAGAAGCGAAAAATACACTGATACAACTAGGCAAGTCCAATGAAGCACTTGTGTAAAAACAGAACAGCTAATTAAAACAAAATTCACAACAATCTCCTAATATATGAACCGACATTTAAAATTAACCATATCGTTTGAGTCAGTTTCTTTGACGAATGTACATCAACACCGCAAAAGCAGTACTTGTTGACAGTGAAATGCATTTTTTGGTAGTAAAAAACAAAAAAAGTGTAAAAAAGGGTTGTAATAAAATACAGACCTATAAAACTCTATAAAATACAGCATTTAAAGTGGTGTGCGCTTGTGCATAGGCCACACACAAAAAGAAATGAAGCAACCATAACAATTTAAATTTGAATTGTATACAAGTGAGTGGTCTTGCAGTTGAGGTAGTGGTTATGTGTTTAACAGTTTTATCGTCTGTGAATAACTGAATTACTGGGGTCATTGGCGTATTTTACAATGGTCTTGACATTTCTAAGACATCTCATTATGGCCCTCACAAAAAAGTATGAAGAAATGTATTGAATGTGTTCAGGTGTGTTCAAGTTACTTTGTTCATTAAATACTATGATCAAGTTGAACACAGTGATACTGAAAAAGGTTGCAGGTTAGTGGTCGGGGTCAAGGTCATTGGCCACAAAAAGTTCTTAAATAGCCTACAAGATTAATCCGTGAAACAGAAATGTAAAAGTGCAAAGACATCTGATACTATATTATACGGATAGATAGATAGATAGATAGATAGATAGATAGATAGATAGATAGATAGATAGATAGATAGATAGATAGATAGATAGATAGAGTAGGCTATAATCTATCTAGACGGTTTCCTTTGCCAAAGGTTAGCTAGGATAGATTTGACTGCTTTTGTTGTTATGTCTCTGAATCACGAAGAAGTACTCTCATTGTCTGAATGCGGCAGTGCTTTTCGCTCATCCTGTGAACAATGAGCATGTATAGCACACACACTATCTCGGTCCCAGCACGGGCTGCCCCGTAGCCACGCGGATGCGCGAGCGCAATGCAGCACTGACTGAACGTAATACTACGGTCACACAACAAAAGGAGCAGCCCTTCTCCGTCTACACTCTCCATCCCGTGTTCTCAGTCACATGCATGCGTTTAATTCGTGGGATGGAATGATTTAAAACTAACGTAGGAGGGTTTTCCTGTTCGATCTCAGTTCGTTTAGTAATAGCAGAGGAGGTTGCGAGCGGAGGAGCGGCGCGGCTTCCCTGCTGCTGCTGCACCGGGGCTGGTTAACATTCCACCGGCGTCACCGCACGTGCGTGCTGTATGCTCTGCGTCTCGCGCCCTCAGTTGTTCCATCGCGCGCGTTTTGATTTCACTTCTGCAATCAATCGCCCTGTCGAAGTGGGTGGGAGAGTGGATTCAGCGTTCGTGTCCCGTGAGCACCCTCCATCTTTAGCTCATCACGTTAATGCATAAGTCTAGTTAGCAAACAGTCCACCGGTGAAACTTTATCATCTGCAGAACAGACTCGAATAGCAAACACCCGTGGCTACGAGATAGAATATGTGCATATATCGCCTCTCCTCTAAAGCATGTGAGAAAAGACAGCATAAAAATAAGTCTCCAAAATATACAGCGATAATTTATATTTTTCTGTATCTTACCTTATCATCTGCATGAGAAGCTGCGAGTGTAAATAACATGTAGCCTACATTCTTTATCTTCCTCATCCAAAGAGAAGTCAAAAGCATCACTCAAAAAGCAAGATACGGAAGATACAGTAGATAGATAGATAGATAGATAGATAGATAGCACTTTATTGTCAGACAAGTCTGAAATGTTTCTTGCATGACAGTATCTATGTTTACAACAATCAGCATCCTTTAAACAACATGCACTTCATCCACACAAGAACAAAACACATTAGACATTACACTCCCTTAAACATTACATTATACCTTACCCTCCTACTACACTTATACAAAGTTAAGTAAAGATAGATAGATAGGTAAATGGGTAGATAGAATATACAGTATAGATAGATGCGTGTGTAGATACTTTTGGTAGTATCTAGGATATCAAAGTCCACTAAAGGAGGTAGAGCTTTTTCGCATTTGGCTCCCAAACTCTGGAATAGCCTTCCTGATACCGTTCGGGGTTCAGACACACTCTCTCTGTTTAAATCTAGATTAAAGACACATCTCTTTGGCCAAGCATTCAAATAATGCATCTCATAATCTTTTACTGCAGTCATAATCTTTTACTGCAGTTATATCTAATCAAATGCACATTATTATTCATTAGTTTGGGTTAAACAAATCATTTTTGCTTGGTTGGAACAGCAGCTACACTAATTATGTTTGTATTTGTTTCTCTGTCGTTTGCCACGGGATTAACATCCCGTGGTAACTAGCATTTACACAAGCTTCAGTCTGGATCCAGAACACCTGAGAAGAGATGATGCAACCCCTCAGAGGACCTCAGATGATGCCAACCCTGAAACAACATACAGAACTACCACATTTTGCTACAAGTTTGATTGCATCATATAATAATTGCTGTTAATATTATTCATCGTCTGTTTTATTACGTCTTATATTGATTTTTCCGTTCTGCTGGTTCGTCTGGTCAGAGGAGAACTGGCCCCCCGACTGAGCCTGGTTTCTCCCAAGGTTTTTTCTCCATTCTGTCACCGATGGAGTTTTGGTTCCTTGCCGCTGTCGCCTCTGGCTTGCTTAGTTGGGGACACTTCATTTCCAGCGATATCGTTGACATGATTGCAAAGATATTATTTAAACTGAGCTGGATGTTGACATCACTGAATTCAATGATGAACTGTCTTTAACTGAAAAATGAGTGTTTACTATTGTCATTTTGCATTATTGACACTATTTTCCTAATTAATGCTGTTCAGTTGCTTTGTCACAATCTGTATTGTTAAAAGCGCTATATAAATAAAGGTGACTAAAGAGAAATTCAGACAGATAGACAGACAGACAGATAAATGATATAGATAGATAGATAGATAGATATATAGATAGATATGTGTGTAGACAGAAAGAGAAAGACAGATAGATGATAGATATATAGATAGATAGATATGTGTGTAGACAGAAAGAGAAAGACAGACAGATAGACAGACAGACAGATAAATGTTAGATAGATAGATAGATAGATAGATATGTGTGTAGACAGAAAGAGAAAGACAGACAGATAGACAGACAGACAGATAAATGATATAGATAGATAGATAGATATGTGTGTAGACAGAAAGAGAAATTCAGATAGATAGATAGATAGATAGATAGATAGATAGATAGATAGATAGATAGATGTCCCACATATGCAGTCATTGGGGGGAAGTTAGTGATTCGTTTCAGAGTTAAAAAGCGCTAGTAGCATATGTAATTTGCATTATTACTCCACTAATGCTGTGGCCATCAAAAAGGCGTTCTCTCAGGTGCATGACTCAAACTCCCACCGCTGTGCAATCTTGCGTCTTCTAACTGATGCGTGGAGTGAGGACATGAATTTTAAACATGCAAAATGAGCTGGGGGAATTGCCTATGTATTGGGAGCACCAATTAGTTCACTGTGCTTTTGTACTTTGTTTTTATGATGATATGTTTGTTTTTAGCATTGTAAAAAAGCACGTTTGCATGGAATTTCATTATATTTTTCAGTGTTGCATTTTTTAACCTCCTCACAGGAGTTTTCTTAAAGCCAATTAATTGAGGACATGCCTAGTTATGAGGCATTTTCACCACTTGCTCTAGACTCTCAGTGTTATAGTTTATTTAAAAACACTTACACGTGCAACCTGTCAGTGAGCATATTTATATGACTGATTCTAATGTAATGCCTCGTCTAATGGGGATGATGTCACAATGACCCAAAAAGACGCCATCTGTGTCAAATAAGACATGTATAAGTAAAACTTATAGGGATTCTAGTTTGAAAATGTTATCCATTTTGCAAACAACTGGGGAGGAGTGCAATTTTAACTTTCTCACTTCGAGAGTTAACATAGTTAATACATTTCAAAATTACTCACTCATGTGCAATGTAAATGCAGAGTGAATTGAGAAACCCTGTTGGAGAAGAATCACAGAACATATAGGAATGATGTCTGATGAAACCCTTGTGTGAAAGCCTAATACTGAGAAATAAAAGTAAAAAAATATTGAGGCCTACAATGCTCTATAACCACCTTTAACATAAAGAAACATGAGAAAATTTGACCAGTGGTTTTTAGAGTGCAGAAGAAAGAAGGGGGGCTTATGAAAATACAGAAAATAATAGAAAAGTGCAATTACATGAAGTTACGGGGGAAATAAAACAGTGTTTGAGTCCTCTAAGCTGCAATGAATAACCTTAAGACTAGTCCAGTCCCAGCGCAATCAACTCATTTCACTAACTAAGATATTTCTCTTTAAAGTAGTGGTGATTTTATGATGAAATGGGCATTTGGACACTAAAGTCAGTATATGAGAAGAAATAAAATTCAAATAAATTTTGCAGTGAAAAGTGCTTAAAATTTTAAAAGTTAAAGTAAAGTAACATTTTTGTTTAACAAAACTAGGTATGCATGCTATTTAAATAAAAAGGCTCAGAGTCAGCAACATTATAATATACAGCACTGGTTCCTGACAGCACTTCATATGCACTCTTAACATTAAAAAACTATTTACCAATCTAAATCTTAGCTAATCTAAGCTAAAATTTATATATTTTTTTGAAAATCTTTTGCTCTTCATTTGGTTGCATCAGCATTAAAAATACTACATGTCTTGAAGTAAAAAAGAAATATGAAAATGCCAAACATGTTCCTT